AGTTTCTTTTAGTTCTTTGTCCCCTATCAGGAGAGTACCTGGCAGATTATCTTTTATTCTGTAGGCTCTCTCTTCATGCTGTTCTTTCCTTTGCTGTGCAGAAGCTTTTAATTTAGTGCCATCCCACTTATTAATTCTTGGTTTTATTTCTGAAGCGTTAGGAGTTTCATTAATCAGCACTTACAAAATAAGTATGTTGGAGTTCTAGCATTTCCATTGTTTCTGGTGTACTCCCTAGGTCTTTCCTTGATAAGCTGAGTTGATTTTTGTATAGGGTGGGAGGGATCTAGTTTCATTCTTCTTCAGATCAGTTTTCCCAGCACCATTTGTTTAAAAGGCTATCTTTGCTCCAACATATGGCTTTGGCATCTTTGTCATGGACCATATGACTGTATGAGGATTTTAGATCAGTTTTTATACCAGTACCTCGCTGTTTTTATGACTGTAGCTCTATAGAATAATTTGAGATCAGGTATTGTGATTCATCCAGCTTTGCTGTTGTTGCACAGGATTACTTTGGCTATTCTAGGTGTTTAATTCTTCCGTATGTATTTTAGAACTGTTGATTCCAGTGTCATTGTTGTTTGTTTGTTTGGTTTTTGTGGTGCTGGGAATTGAACACAGGGCCTTGTGCATGCGAGGCAAGCACTTTACCAACTGAACTATACCCAGCCTCATCATTGGTATTTTGATGGGAACCTAATGGAATCTGGAATCTGTAGATTGCTTTTGGTAATATGGCCATTTCGATGATATTAATTCTTATCCATGAACATTGTAGGTCTTTCCATCTTGAAGAGACTCTGTTAAGATTTTTTAAATGCTCTTAAATTATCAGTTTATAAGATTTTCTATTTAAAGAATTTTGCTTCAGTATATCTTAGTTATTACTGATATGGATACAATGTCAAGTTTTACAGGTATGATAGGCATTTTAATAAATACTAAGATGCAGCTTTTAAGTGATCATTTAACTTTTACTTATGGAGTTTTCATGTTTGTTTTTTAATCAGCCTTCCATATAGAATATAGAATATCAAAATTTGATATAAGGAAATTGCAAAGTCATTCTGTATCTTTCAGACACCTAATACACATTAAAATGTTTTGAACTGTTTTTCTAAAAAGCAGTCTAAAATAAATGATATGAAAATCATGTATAATTTTTCCTATTCTTTTTTCTTTGTAGGGAAGCAGCAAGAGAGTGTCGTAGAAAGAAGAAAGAATATGTGAAATGTTTAGAAAACAGAGTGGCAGTGCTTGAAAACCAAAACAAGACACTAATTGAGGAGCTAAAAGCACTTAAGGACCTTTACTGCCACAAATCAGATTAATTTGGGATTTAAATTTTCACCTGTTAAGGTGGAAAATGGACTGGATTGGCCACAACCAGAAAGACAAAAATAAACATTTTATTTTCTAAACATTTCTTTTTTTCTATGCGCAAAACTGCCTGAAAGCAACTACAGAATTTCATTCATTTGTGCTTTTGCATTAAACTGTGAATGTTCCAACACCTGCCTCCACTTCTCCCCTCAAGAAATTTGCAGCGCCAGGAATCATGAAGAGACTTCTGCTTTTCAACTCCCACCCTCCTCAAGAAGTAATAATTTGTTTACTTGTAAATTGATGGGGGAAATGAGGAAAATGAAATCTTTTTTTAAATGATTTCAATTTTAAATGATTTCAAGGTTTGTGCTGAGCTCCTTGATTGCCTTAGGGACAGAATTTCCCCAGCCTCTTGAGCTGAAGTAATGTGTGGGCCGCATGCATAAAGTAAGTAAGTTGCAATGAGGAAGTGTTGATTGCCAAATTGACATGTTTTCACATTTTCATTGTAAATTATGTAAAATTGTTAAAAGACACACCCTCTAAAAAAGAATTTTAGTATGGTGTTGAAGAAATTAGGAATGAATTCGGAGTACTTTCTCTGTATGTTCTTTTCTTCAGTACTGAAAAGTTGTCCTTGGTTCTTAAAAAACATTCTGTATTTAACGACAGCTCTTTCCTAGGGCAGTTGTTGCTTCTTAATCCAGTTCTCTGTGTGTTCAGCATTTTTGAATACATTAAAAGAAGTAAGCAACTGAACGAAAAAGCATGTCATTTGAATTTTAAATTAAATCAAAGTAAATAAAAGTACAAAGCTTATTTTAGTTAGTATTAAATCTTAGTAAAAAGATGCTGGCTAGTAAACCATTCCTTGAGTTATATAACAAGGTTTTTAAATAAAAGTTTTTGTCCTCGCCTTCAAAAATATTTATATTGTCACTCATTGACTTAAAAAGATATTTCTAATTTGCTGCTGCCCCTTGCACTTACATTGTACCACCAACAGAAAAGCCTTCAAGATGTTAAAGAAAACAAAGTGATGTATGTTTATGTGTTATAGAAAAATACTGATTTTTAAATCTTTTCCAGATTCACATACTTTTATCAGAGAACCTCTAGTGAATTTTTTTAAGTGAAGAAGTGATAAGGATATGGTTCTAAGAAGTACAGTGTTAGATGTGTACAAGGAAAGTAATTTTCCTCAGAATCTACTGTACTATAATATTTGGACTATCATTCTTACAAAACATTTGTTTTCTTCTTAAAAGGGTAGTTATGTTTTATGTTTCCAATATGCTGTATAGCCTTTGTCAGTTATAAAGGAGCTACCTATTTTAATTTCTGGCTATAACAGTTTGTATTTGTATGTATCATATGTTGTTTCCAGTAATATTTTTAATTACTCATTTTATTCACTAAGCTTGATAAATTTAAAAGTTACCCTTTAAAAGAAAAATATAAGAACAAGGTAGATTTTTTTAATTGGAGACTGATGTGATGTTAGATTATGATTTTTTATTTGAGAAGGAAATTCCTTTTTAAAAAGTCAAGCAACTTAGAAAATTAGTTTCCTATTTAGTCATAGTTTATTTAAGAAAGTTAAATTTGTTTATCATGATAACATTGTGCAGATACTAGTATTAGTTTATTGGGTCCATTTTTTAAAAAAAGATTTTTAATATTTGTAAATGTTATATTTTTGTTTGTAACAAACCATTGTCTTTTTTCAAGGATGAACAGAGTTTGTGAAGGAGCATCATTCTAAGAATTGAGTGATGTAGTCTTTATATTTGGACAGTTCACCAGATTCTCAAGAAGGCTTTCAAACGGCTGTAAAGTTTGATGTTTGTCCTGCTGAGCTTATGGGGAAAATGATAGCATAAAAATTGTTTGTATACCAGCATAGATATCATTTTCTAACCTTGGTGTTAACAGAAACCAAGCAAAAATCACAAATATGTTCACAAACTAGAATTATTTCACATTTAGTCAGAATGTCAAATTGAACATATTGAATGTCTTTTATAAGTGAAAAATTGGTGTGTAGCAAGTTGTAATCTCTAAAATTGTCCATGTTTCCAAAAGTTGCGGCTTTCTACTTAACTAGGAAGTTGGTGGTCCTCTTGGTCCCTGATAAATTAAGGCAATCACATTCATATTAGCTGGGTGCATTTATAAGTTATAAAGACCTGTCCTCTGTACCTTGAGTATGATTGCACTGGTTTGAAGTCAGTTACTTAATAATGAGGTGAGAAATGTATTGTGTTGCTAAATCTGTTTTAGACTCTTGGAGAGACTTGAAGATTTCAGTTTATACAGACAGAAATCAAGCATCTTTTGTGCAGGCTTTTTTTTTTTTAATATGAGAATAGGAAAAAACTGTGTTTTTAAGCTTGTAACTTTGAGAATCTTTATTAAGAAAATGACATAATAAAAAAAAATCTTGTACCAAGAATATATATGGCCACATAACCAGTAATAAATGTTTTTCTCTTCATATTGGCCAAAAGGGAATGAAAATATCATAGGAATCTGTACATATGCTACTGATTTGCCTAGAAAATAGCAAGTTTGGTACCGCTCACTTTGCAAATATAGGGCCATGTGGCACTTTTATCTATAGGACAGATTAACTAATAAAAATGATTGGGGAGGGGTTTATTTTTGATATATTACTCATGAGTTTTCATGCTTTGATAGCATTTAACTGAAAAGTGGCTTAGAAAGGGCTAGATCCAATGTGCTCACATTATCATGAGATGCAGTTTTAAGTTCATTCTTTTTCAAACTCAAGTACCATATTGGCAACCATAATATTGTCATAGGTGCTCTGTTTGTTTAGATATTGGGGGGGGGGGTGAAGAAATGGCATTTGTATAATATATGTGTACATATATATATATACATACAGTATATAATCTAAAGCTCTGAGAGCTCTTAAGTCAGGAATGCTGAGTATTATAGTATATTGAGGTCAGATGAAATTTTACATTTTTGTGTGTCCTATTGCATCCCTTCTGATAGTTTCTATGACTGCATTACTCTGGCACTCAATGATTGATTTTATCTTCTAATTTTCTTCCAAGTATTTTATTTTTTTATTAGTTTTCTTTGGCTTGATATTTTTAAATATGCTACTAGTCACTTGAAAAGTACTCCCCTCTCCCCCAATTTTTTTTTTTCTGCTTTGTCTCTGGCAGCTATTAACAGTGGTAAGAACACTTTGAAGATAGCTTTTAAAAGAAACCACTGATTTTCAAAAGTCATCCTGGGGGAGGAATTTTGTTGTTTTATTTGAGCAGGGATTTTGTCAGAAAATGTGTTTTGGCAGTAGGTCAGCAACAGTGCTAGTATCTGAAAGCACAATACCAATCAAGCAGGCTGTCTGATCAGAAGTCATCTGGCTAAAGTTTGTCTTGGGACTAATCCCTACTGTTTGACCATTTGTGACAGGTGGAATCATACAAAGGCTTAGGAAAAAACAAGGCTGTATAAATCAGAATGCTCTTACTTACTTGAAGTGACTTCAATCTAGATTTCTTCTAATGTTTAATAAAGTTTTTAATTCTGTGATCAACTGTAGTCAGCTAATTAACAAATTGGCCTCTGTTTATCAAAAGCTGCTTCATTTTGCAGGACTTACTCATGTAGTAGAAACAGTAATTACATACCTTTTCATTTCTTCCCAATTTTGTTGCTTTTGTAACCCAGAAAACTGTTGGTACATTATTTCCCATTGACCTAAAACAAAAGTTGTATATTTATTTGGATTATATTTACATTAATTCTTTGTAAATGTTTGGTGTAATTTGCACTTTTAAAAAAGACCCAGTTTGGGTATCAGCAACTTAAGAAATTTCCTCATCCATCATCAATTGACTTTTTAGTCTTTCTCTTCTCTCCAAATCATGTGATGTTCTTAAATGGAAGCTTTTCATTAATTAAAACATTTAGCACCTAAAAGCTAGCCTTAAAAATGTTGTGAAAGCAAAATATATGGAAATTCAGTTTGATTATCCCAGTTTAAAAAAAGGGATTCAAACATAAGTTTTTTCATCATGGATAAAGACTGAAGGGAAAGTAAAAGAACAATATTTGTTTCTAATTTTGAGTAACTTTATACTCACCCCAACATTAATATCATGTGTGGTTTGCCAAAATAATTCATTTTTCCAGAATAGTAAAATATTTTTAAAGCAATTAAGTATTATTATGGGAGACCACAATATAGTAATCATTTTTACTAAATTATTCTCATTTTAAATTGGCTTTGTTAACATTCAAATGCTACCTAAATTTGAATTTCAGATAAGAAGGGGGGAGTATGAAGTGTGCTTTAAGTAAGCCTTTAGGTGAAAAATTATGAAATGAATTTGTTCACTCAGTTGTACAAAGAACAACTAGAACTTTTTATTGGGTGGCTTACATACATCTTGAATATTTTAATATTAATAATATTGGGTTTTCAGTTGACTAGAGTCACTCTATGACAGGAACTGGTTTCCTTGACTTTCTAGAATCAATGGCTAGGAGAGGCATTAGTCCTTGAGGGGTTGAACATATCATTAAGTTGAGTCAGTATGGAAGAATTCATACAAATCAAACAGGGTGCTGCAGTTCCATCTGTCTCATCTGCTTATGATAAGTTCTTACTGATGAGTGAATGTAGCTTAAGCCTTTGTATGGGTCCTCACAGGGCAGACAAACTTAAGAGGGACCAGATAACATTTGAATAGAAGAATTATATTTCAGGTGTTTTAGCTTGAATTTTATTTTTTAAAAAAAGAAAAATAAAAAAAAAAAAATAGAAAAAAGCCTGTGAAGCAAGTTGATATTATAAGCAGGCAGAAATGTTTAGCACAGAGAGAAAATATTGACCTGTCTGCATCCTTGTACTATGGGGTGCAGATCCCAGCTGGATAAAACATGATACATTTTAAAATATTCTCACCAGCAGGTAAAAGGAAAAAGACCAGTCTACAGGAAATATCTTTAAAAAGGGTCAAAGAGTAGGCAATTCACATTTTGCCTACTTTTACAGGCAATTAATTTTTAATTGTCTGTAGAAGCATGGCATTTCTAAGCTGTCTGAGGAGCATCTCAGCTGTGAGACTAAATCTGAGATAATTTAAAAATTGGTAGGGAACGAAGAAAATCCCTGTAGATAATGATCTATGTTAATTAACCACACTAAATGATCTACCATTGTGTTGGGAGGTTTTATTTTCTTATGTTTTAAAAATTGAATTGGTAAATGCTTTATAGACATATTTTTATCCAGGTTGCCACTCCAATGTGTATGTAATAAAATTATTTATATTAAAAGTGGGAAATAATTTGTCAACATTTTTCTGTAAGTATAGATTTATTAGGGGTGGCAAAGAAGAGTGCTAGTTAGCAATTTTCCATTGTGAAGTTGTCCTTGACCGATTTGTATGCATCCCTTGTAATCCTCCCTTCCCCATCCAGCAAAAGGAATTATTTCTAACCCAGATGCATCCCTTGAAACTTTTTAGAAACAGAATAACCAGGGAAGTTCCTAGAAAGGTGTTTGGAGTGTTTGGTGTTTTTTTTTTTTTTTTTTTTCCTTGAGGATTAGTGTAAAGAATACCTCCCCGCCCCCCCCCCCAAAAAAAAACTATCAGCACAAAACAGGGTATCAATTTTTAGCTCTGATGTTTCTATTGGAGTTGAATACTAAGTAAATATAAGATTCCCTACATTCTAAAAACATCCCTGTTTTAATTTTTTATCTAAATCTTTTTGTGCTTTATGTGTAAAGAAAAAATGTACTGAGTTACAATGCATTTTATTAACACTATGTACATAGTAGCTCCTTTGTGTTCAGAATGGTAGCAGTTGCTTTGTATATTAAAGTGATTCTTGTGAATTTGTGAAATATTGTCATAAAGTGCTTTTTCTTACTGTAATCTTTGTGGTATCAACTGTCATAATGCCCTTTTTACACAAACATTTATGTGCAGACACATAAATATGCTTTTTAAAACTCTGTAAGTCTCTTTTTTGGGGATGGGAAAATCTATCTTTTTATACTTGCTTGTCGATATTAAGTCATATTTTCTTGGACTTGTGTTTATTTTGTTAAGCAAGCAGAAGTTACATTAGAGTATTATCACAAGCTTGTGCTGCACAGCAGTTAGAATTACATCTTCAGTTACTTAATTTTACTTCACTCCTAGTTAGCACAAGACTTTTTGAGTAAGCTAGAACAGTACCTATTTGAGGATTTGGAGATGTTATTGTTCTCCTGAGATACTAAGGAAAACATGGCCAACTCTCTCCAATGTCATAAAATGCATGTTTGCATGGAAAGAAAAGGGAGAACGTCTGTGATCCCATAAAATGGAAGAGAAAGGAAGGAAATGTGGTTATTCTTTGCTTGAGGCCTAAGAACAAAAGATTCTTTCCCATACTATATCTGAAATAAGGTCTGGGATTTCTCAAAGTAAGTAGTTAGTTAATTTATTCCTGTGTATGGTATTCCTTAATTGCCTGGTATACCTGCCACTATATTGAAAGAATTACATTTCATTTTTCCTCTTCTACATAGAGTGACCACATAATTTATTGTACAGAGGAGATGTTTTTGAGCATGAACAAGTGATATTAAACAACAGGCATAAATCAGATTGTAGCTGAGAATGTCAGATCCTGTGGTCACCTGTAAGCTGTGTTCAGATGCTTAGACCACCAGTAAAATCAAAATACGAATCTTCTCTTCATATCTTTGTTGTTACTTGACAAATATTGAGAACTAACAAAGAAGAAAAGTCCCTTTCTTCCAAAACATCCAAGAATACAATTGTGATAACACAGGGATGACTCTTTCCTCTCCCCTGAATTCTAGACTCAAGATTGTCATTTCCACTCAGATTGCAAAACATGGATCCCCAAAAAAACTAATTTCACCTCCCAATCTTCCTTTAGCTGGCATGTTCTATTTCATAAATGGTGCTATAGTCCACTAAATTGCCTAAGGCAGACCCAGAAAAGTACTGCCTTATAGAAGTGCCACCCTTAATTTCTCTACATTTTATACATACTAACCAAACCAGCTGAGAATTCTAACATCTAGTGAAAGAAGGGTAATTTTCAGGAGTTTAAAGGCTCTTTTTGCTTGGTTTTAATTGTATAATTCATGCAACAAAATAAACCACTCTAAAGTGAACAATTAAGTAGTATTTAGTGCATTCACAATGTTGTTCTACTGCCACCTCTATCCAGTTTCCAAATAGTCTCATCATGCCAAAATAAAACCCTGCACATTAAGTAAGTTTTCTTCCCATTTCCTTCTCCCTCTTGCCCCGGGCAACCGCCAGTCTGCTTTCTGTTTCTATAGATTGGCCAGTTCTGGATACTTCAAATAAATGGAATCACACAACATGTTTGACTTGCGTTTGGTTTCTTCATTGAACACATTCCTTGAGGATTATCCACATTAGACATGTATCAGTACTTAATTCCTTTCTATAGCAGGATAAGTTTCAATTAAGTATGTATACTCAGTTACCCATTCACTCTGTTGATGAACATGTGGGTTCTTTCTACCATTAGTTATTGTGAATAGTGCTATTATGAATGTCTGTGTCCCTGTTTTTCAATTCTTGGGTGCATATACCATGGAGTAGAATTACTGGGTCGTGTGCTAGTTCTCTTGAACTTCCTGAGGAACCACCAAACGTTTCCTCAGCAGCTGCACCATTTTACATTCCACCATGGACATGAGGGTTCCCATTTTGACACATCCTCACCAACACTTATTTTACTCTTTTTGAATTATGACCACTCTTATGTGAATGGACTCGTGTTTTTTATTTGCATTTCCCTAATGACTAGTGATCTCAAGCATGTTTTTGTTTAATTGTTTACATATCTTTGGGAAAATGCCTATTCAAGTCCTTTGCTTGTTTTTTAACTGAGTTATTATTAGAATTTCTTATATATTCTGTATATTAGACCCTTATAATATTTTCTCCAATTCTGCAAAATTGATAATATCCTTTCTTGATAATAACAAAGGATATTGGTTTTTATCATTTTTTAACAACTTTTTTAAAGTAATACTTACACTTGTAAAACACTTAACTGTGTATGCCTGATGCAGTGGTATCCACCTATAATCCCAGCAATTCGGAAAGCTGAGGCAGGAGCATAGGCAATTTAGGTCTCAAAGAATCAAAAATGGTGGGGAACGTACATAAGTTTGTAGAATACCTCTGCGTTCAGTCCCCAGTACTGGGGAAAAAAAACACCATAGTGTAGCCATGTACTGTGGTTGGCACAGGCCTATAATCCCAGCTACCAGGCTACTTGGGAGGCTGAAGCAGGAGGATCACAAGTTCACATTCAGCCTGGGTAATGTAGTGAGACCCTGTCTCAAAAGTTGGGGCGGTGCCAGGGTTGTAGCTGTGTGGTAGAGTGCTTGCATAGCATGTAGCAAGCCCTGGGTTCAATCCCCAGTATCATAAAAAGGAAAAATTAAGATATAAATTCATGTGATTTTGCCAATAGAGCAGGGAGAGGACATAGAGAAGTACTGGGGAATGAAAGTGAACAAAATCTGCTATGTACATGTATGAATATGCCACAATGAATCCTGCTTTTATATATTTGTATATAATGTAAATGCACTAATTGAAATAATAAAAGATAAGCAGAGCAAGTGGATGAGGGAGGGAAAGTAATGGTACTGGGAAATAGATCAAATTATATGCATGTAT